GCACATCACAACTTCCCTCTATTTACCTGGACTTTCAAACAGCTCTCCCATCCCATTCAATTTAGTCAGCTTATTAACTCTTCTAGCTTGAATGTTTTTTCCTTACCTATTTGAGATGCATTGTTTCTAGCTAAGAGCCCATAATTTCGTTACCTTCAAACTATGATGGGCAAATATTTTCTCTGAAGGGCAACAAAATATTTTCTCTGAAGGGCTACTTGACTTGTGAGATGAATGGTGTGTGTTGTAACAGCTTAACTCTGTGCTTGCAGCAGCCATAACAATATATAAATAAGTGTGGCTGTGTTCCAACAAAACTGGGGATACTGAAATTTGAATATCATAATTTTCATGTGTCACAAAATATTCTGCTTTTGACTCCTCTGTGACCATTTTAAAATGTCAAAACTATTCTTCAAACATGGACCATACAAAAACCAATGGCAGGACAGATTTAACCTGGGAGCCAGGTTTGCTGACTGTCATAGGCTATGTTTCAGAGAGAGAGATCAAGTCATTGCTATCCAGCCATTTACTTACCAGTTTTCTGTATTTCAAAATCCCTTAGTTTCTGCAACACTTGAGGCTCCAGGCTATTTTTCTGATCTTGTTATCCATCCCTGGCTAATCAACAATTCTTACTGCTCCATCATCTTTCCTGATTCTGTGGATTTCATCTCTTGTAATATCCTTTTTTCCATTCTCACTCTCCCTACACTCTAGTTAAAACTCTTGCCTAGCATTCTAGCTAACACAGTTTCAGTAGTCAACTGGTTGTCCGTCACCCTTCCAATCTAATTGCCAAATTATGGTTCTGATCATGTCTCTCCCTTCCAAAAAATCTAGCATCATATATCCAAAAAAAAAAAAAACTGCTTAGTTTGGCATTTAAGGTGTTCAATCTACCTTCCCAGCTATCTCTTCTACAATTTTCCCAATGCCTTCAGGTAACTATTTTTCTTTGAAGTTTCTTCTACTTTCAGTGCCTTCTTCACCATCTCTGCAAAAATTTGACCATCCTTCAAAGCACTTCTAAAAATGAAACATGCTGAGTACTTGTAATTTGATGTGATGAATTCTTTTTTGCCAGGTGGGGAGTACTAGCAACTGAACCCAGGGATACTTTACCACTGAGTCACATCCTTAGCCCTTTTTTATTTTGAAACAGGGTCTTACTAAATTACCAAGGCTGGCCTTGAACTTGAGTTGTAACAGCTTAACTCTGTCCTGCCTCTGGCTCCTGAGTCACTGGGATTATAGGCATGCATCTTTGTACTGGCAGGATTCTCTTTATTAGCACTTAGAGTCAGTTTTAGGTTGTAGCTGTTTATACACTCATTAATTTCCCTCTTAATTGTAATTGCCTCAAGAGGAATGATGTTGTCAAAGGTGACCTTCTTTGTCCCCTGAAACACCTAGCACAGTGATAATTTATTAAGTTGTTATGGTAAGAACATGTTGGGATATGATAAAAGAACAATAAGGAATGTAAACATAATAGTTTAACCAACATGGAAATGCCCAAGAAAATATGAAACTATGGAAAAACTTAAATCTTAGAAACTAAATAGGAAGCCATCAAGCTGCCAAAATGTTGAGGGATTTCTGCTAAATGTGGTGCTATTGAAGGATGGGCAGATTCTTGCAGAGATGGTGGAGAAGTTGCAGTGATATTGGATGAAAAGMGGAGTGAATAATGAAGAGTGAATTCTGCCAAGGGGAGCCCTGCCATACCAGAGGATCAGGACAGGGTCATATTGAACTCCTTCTGTGCACAGCCATGATTAGCACTCTCCATACCTTGCCTCCTAGTTTTCACATCAGCATATGAGAGATGGAAGTTATCTTCATTTTTCAGATAAAGAAATAGGTTTCTTGGGCTGGGGCTGGGGCTCAGCAGTGGTGCACTTGCCTGGCATGTGTGAGGCACTGAGTTCAATTCTCAGCACCACTTTTAAATAAAATAAGTGTATCAACTAAAAAAATATATTTTAAAAAAAGAAATTGGTTTCTTCACACAGGTTTTATTTTATTTTTACACCAAGGAAAAAAWTTTATTAAAGTATAGATTACCAGTTATTTAAAAATACATAAGACAAATATACAAAGGCAGTATCATACAACTGATTTCTAAACTCAATACTTTTGAAATACAAAACAATGATCACTACCCTGAAAAGTCAGTTTGTTGACAGAGATTGATCTTTAAGTTCGTCAAAAACTCCTTTCACTCAATTT